TCCATACCCCCCCCCTTCTTCTACTCCACCCTCGTTCCACCCATTTCCTTTACCTTCCTCAAGCATCCCTCCCCATTTCCCATTCCTTCCAGCCTCATCTTGCCCCCCCTCCCCCCTCCCCCTCCCTCCACTTTCAACCAAAAAAAATAAAATCTACGGAACAGGTAATTTAAATTTCATAAAATATGCAGATTGCTTCTCTCTTCTACAAATCTTTTCGGAGGTGAGGTTGGTGGGAGCTCTCTCGCTCTCTCTCTTTACAGAGAGAGAGAGAGAGAGAGAGAGAGAGAGAGAGAGAGAGAGAGAGAGAGAGAGAGAGAGAGAGAGAGAGAAGAAGAGAATGTAAAAGGCATTTCTGAACTTTTAAAAACTAGGCCTAAAAGGAGTTCGTTTCTTCTTATTGATTGCATACCTCCCTTACCCTGTGTGTGTGTGTGTGTGTGTGTGTGTGTGTGTGTGTGTGTGTGTGCGTGCGTGTAGCGTGATCTCCTGGGTCATCACACTAACCCTACACACACGCCACATATTCACTAAAGGAACACCTAGATAGGACAAACCTTCAGGACAATATGGATTTGTATGGGAAAAGTGGTGTTTAACAAACTTTACCGAAGTTACCAAAATACGACAGGAGGCAGAAGGCTGGTTAAACTGCATCTTCCTTGACTATCACAAGGTATTTGACACTGGCCCTTGTGCAAGACTGGTGGGGGGGGGGGGAAACATGAACTAAATAAAGGATTACCTTACCGGCAGGAAACAGTTACAGCCAGAGACGTGTCGAAGTCGAGGGACGTGGAAATGTACGTCCACCGAGGCTCGATCCCAGGACATGTAGGAGGGTGTGCTCCAATGTGTCAATATTGGCGGCTGACGGAATGCTAATGAAGAATGTAAAAAACTGAGGACAGCAAATAATTAAGAGAAAGACCTTGACAAACCTCTTTAGAAGTGAGCAAATCAGCGGCTGTTAGAGTTCAAGTCAATTAAGACAGTGAGGATTGGGCAAGAAGATAAGAGAACTCTACACCATGAGAGGAAAGGTAACTATAGGAATGTGGAAGAGAAGGGAAGAGAAGGGAAGGGAACTATCAGGAGAAAGCGCCAAGCCATTACGACTATATGGCACTGTGAAGGGGGTCAGGATAAGGATTTGAGATGGGACGGGAGGAGGGTGGGGGGGGGGGAAGAATGGTGCCCAACCACTTGGACGGTCGAGGATTGAACGCCGACCTGCATGAAACGAGACCGTCCCTCTAGAGAAAAATGTTTGAGAGTGAGTGTGGTTCCCATCTACTACCCTACTAATTAATCTAATTTAACCTACTCTACTAATCTGGTGTTAGTAGTTCCCATCACAACCACCAGAGCCGCATGTAAACATGATAACACCGGCGTCATGTGAGAAGCTGGCAAATGACAGAGCGACATTTAAAACCCTAACTAAGAACTTGTTCAAATCAACCTAACAGCCTATATGAAGCTAATGAACAAATCCACAAGGGCCGTGACGAGGATTCGATCCTCGTCACGGCCCTTGTGGATTTGTTCATTTGATGCATCACGTTATTGTGACCTCTGTGTGTGTGTATATGAAGCTGTTGCTAGACTACACAGCACAGGCGTGGAACCAGAGCCCAGTGTTGGACAAAACTAAACTTGAAAAAGGTAGAGAAGGATGTAACACTAACAATACCAGGGGCCAGATTCACGAAGCAGTTACGCAAGCACTTACATCTTTCCTAAATCTTTGATGGCTTTGGTTACATTTATTAAATTGTTTACAAGCATGAAAACTTGCCAATCAACTGTTGTTATTGTTATAAACAGCCTCCTGGTGCTTCGGAGCTCATTAACTGTTTAATTATTGTAAACAAAGCCGTCAAAGATTGAGGAAAGATGTTCACGTTCGTAAGTGCTTGCGTAACTGCTTCGTGAATCTGGCCCCAGAAGTAAGAGGACTAAGCTACGAGGTCAGATTTAGGAAACTAAATATACTGTGTATCGTTTGTTATTGTAGTATTTTTTTTTTTATTATGTCTCCAAAAGTACAGAAAATGATTATTCCTCTCAAATTTTGCTTTGATCTTGGCATAAGACAGCAAAGTTCGGGGGAATAATAACCATTTCGTATACTTTTTTGGAGACAATCGTAAAAAACACTAATACACAGGGACAAAATTTTTTACATTTTAGTTATTACAACCATAGAGGAGAGGCGCAACAGAGGGGATATGATCACTATATTCCAGGTAGTGGTAAAAGGGAACAGACAAGGTGGACAAGGACAGCATGTTTAAATTGTGAGAAAGTAGGGCGAGAGGACATAGTTGGAGGGGTACGAGTATTAAGTGAACAGACTTAACACTCGTAGTACCCTGTACAGGAACTTGTTTCAAGTTCAGTGCACTGGAAGAGGGCGTCTTAGAAGCCACCTCCTCCACCCTTAAAAGTTATTAAGCTCACCTACCACAACAAATTCAAACTCCAGGAAAAAATTAAACTATGATGCGCCAGGTACAACAAGGCTGGTAGGCGGGGCATAACCTGACTCTCCAAGTAGTGACAGTTAGGTAAAGTGTTAGGTAAAGTGTTAGGTAAAGTGTTGGGTAAAGTGTTAGGTAAAGGTTTAGGTAAAGGTTTAGGTAGAGTGTGTTAGGCAAGGAGCCCCAGAACCGCCGCCAGACCTGCTCCCGGCACCGCCTCCTACACTGGACTTGCCCGCAGTAAACAGACAGATATTTCGTTACCCTAAAGCTAATTTACAGCATGAATTGAAATCTCCTTCACCCCTTCCCACCTCCCTTTGCTCTCCCCTCCCCCCTCTCCCCCCTCCCCTCTCCCCTCCTCCCCTCTCACAATTCCCACTCCTCCGCTTCCCTTCCTGGCCCCAGCTGGGAGCCACCAACCAATCCAGGCTAAGTGTCAAAGACTGACGTCACACGTCAGTCTTTGACACGCCAGACAACCAACTGACTGGTTGAGTCTTCTATATCTGTGACGTACGATGTTAGTCTGTCAGTCTGAGGCCAGGCGCTCGAGTTGGCCTCCCCCGAAACTTTGCAGGGTGACTGGTGGGTGTTGGGGGATCTCATAGGAGCTTGTGGTCAGGTAGGTATGCACACTCACCTAGTTGTGCTTGCGGGGGTTGAGCTCTGGCTCTTTGGTTCCGCCTCTCAACTGTCAATCAATCAACTTTTCTCCCCACACAAACCCCCAGGAAGAACCCAGGGGGGAGAGGTCCTGGGGGAGGAACGCGCGCACACATTCCTGTGTAAGGAATCCGTCAGAACTTTGTATACCACATATGTAAGACTAATCCTGGAGTATGCGGGCCCAGCATGGAACCCGTACCTTGTCAAGCACAAGACGAAGCTGGAAAAAGTTCAGAGGTTTCCCACTAGGCTAGTCCCAGAACTAAGAGGCATGAGTTACGAGGAAAGGCTGCGTGAACTGCTCCTCACGTCGCTGGAAGACACAAGAGCTCGGGGAGACATGATCACCACATACAAAATTCTCAGGGGAATTGACAGGGTGGGCAAGGATGGATTACTTAACACAGGTGGCACACGAACAAGGGGACACAGGTGGAGACTGAGTACCCACATGAGCCATAGGGACGTTAGAAGGAACTTTTTCAGTGTCAGAGTAGTTAACATGTGGAATGCATTAGGCAGTGATGTGGTGAAGGCTGACTTCATACACAGTTTCAAGTGTAGATATGATAGAGCCCAGTAGGCTCAGGAACCTGTACATCAGTTGATTGACGGTTGAGAGGCGGGACCAAAGAGCCAAAGCTCAACCCCCGCAAGCACAACTAGGTGAGTACAACTAGATGAGTATAATTAGGTGAGTACATACGCACACAGCCGTTAGGAGCTTGACGGCCGAGTGGACAGCGCTCGGAATTCCTAGTCCCATTCGTAGTCCAGGATTCCCCACTCCAGCAACACCGCCGCTGTCGTCCCCACAACACACCACCACCACCATCACCACCTCCCCCTCAAACCCCGGATGTGACCCCAAGAACCGCAGCGAGGATAGCATCGAGATAACAGACTGGAAGCTGGACATTAGAGGTCAAATAGGAGAGAGAGAGAGAGGGGAGGAGAGAGAGGGGGAGAGGGAGAGAGAGGAAAGTCTGGTGGAGCCACGCCCACACCAGGAGGGAAAATCCATTACGCCCGGTAGGCAGTATACTCACTGGGGCGGCGGGTGTAGCCTACACTGTGCTCTTTTACACACCCACACACCCACACACACACACACACACACACACACACACACACACACACACACACACACACACACACACACAGCACACATTCATACTCGAGAGTATACGCAGCCATGCACACTGACTCTGCAGGGGGAAAGGTCTGGGGTACGGGATGGACATAGGCTGTTCGGGGGGTCGCCATAATTCAAGAGGGAACAGCGTGCCAGGGGTCACATGTTGACCCACTACGATTACCTTTGGCACTGTCCGCCGGTTTCCCTTGGCTAAATATATTTTCAAAACTAGCGAAAACTGCGGGTGAAGACGAGTCGGGGGGGGGGGTCGGTATTTCATATCTGAGAGTGAGAGAGAATGAGAGAGCGAGCGAGCGAGCGAGCGAGAACAAGAGAGAGAGAGAGAGAGAGCGCTTGTTGCCGTTGGGACTACTGTTAACACTGCCGATCACGCTAACTCTGAACAACACCGGCGGTGTGGCTGGGTGTGGGGTAACGAGCAGTGATTGCTTTTACTGTAATGATCCCGGGATAATTGTGGCCTGTTTACGTGCCGGCAGACCCCCGCGCGTGCGCACACGCCACTCCCACACCCACTACCGTCCCTCCATCCTCCTTCAGGAACGAACCCATGAACGCCACCCATTCCATATTTATGTCTTATTTTAGCATTTTCTTAATCACAATTATCTCATTACTCACCAGATAATCTGCTGATCTTTGCGGGCGGATATTCACCCTATTTACTCATATTTTCCCGCCCACAGATGAGTACGGGGCGGAGGGCGCGGGCGGCCACAAGAGCGGGTCGCCGTCCCCGCTGGTGGCGTCGGGCGGGAGGACCTCTGGGCGGGACTCTGTGGCCTCTCATCTCTCCTCCTCCACCGACACCTGCCTCACCCACCCTGACGAAGACATCGAACGACTCCTCCAGTTTAACGAGAAGAAGGTCAATTGCCTCACCCCACTTGGAGTAAGTCTTGAAGTGTGTGTGTAGAGGGGGGAACGGGGATTATTTTGTTATATTATTGATGTGTATTTTAGCATTTTATGATTAATACTCATTGGATAATACATATTGATTATTATTGAGGTGGGGAAATGAGGTGGATGTTGGGGTGACAGAGGGGAGGAGTGTGTGTGGTGGGGGTGACAGGGGGGAGTGTGTGTGGTTGGGGTGACAGGGGGGAGTGTGTGTGGTGTGGGTGACAGAGGGGAGGAGAGTGTGTGGTGGGGGTGACTGAGGGGAGGAAAGTGTGTGGTGGGGGTGACTGAGGGGAGTGTGTGTGGTGTGGGTGACAGAGGGGAGGAGAGTGTGTGGTGGGGGTGACAGGGGAGGAGTGTGTGTGGTTGGGGGTGACAGAGGGGAGGAGTGTGTGTGGTGGGGGGGTGACAGAGGGGAGGAGAGTGTGTGGTGGGGGTGACAGAGGGGAGGAGAGTGTGTGGTGGGGGTGACAGAGGGGAGGAGAGTGTGTGGTGGGGGTGACAGAGGGGAGGAGAGTGTGTGGTGGGGGTGACAGAGGGAGAGGAGTGAGTGTGGTGGGGGTGACAGAGGGGAGGAGTGTGTGGTGGGGGTGACAGAGGGGAGGAGAGTGTGTGGTGGAGGTGACAGAGGGGAGGAGAGTGTGTGGTGGGGGTGACAGAGGGGAGGAGTGTGTGTGGTGGGGGTGACAGAGGGGAGAAGTGTGTGTGGTGGGGGTGACAGAGGGGAGGAGAGTGTGTGGTGGGGGTGACAGAGGGAAGGAGTGTGTGTGGTGGGGGTGACAGAGGATGGCAAGTTAAATGCGTTAAGTCATTATATATGTAAACATTATATATATATATTTAAAGACAGATATAACATTTTAACTCACTTTCCAAGTGAAGACCCAATAAATAATTACTTTATCCCTGAATCTCTCTCCCTCCCTCTCCCCCTCCCCCTCTCCCTCTCTCTCTCTCTCTCTCTCTCTCTCTCTCTCTCTCTCTCTCTCTCTCTCTCTCTCTCTCTCTCTCTCTCTCTCTCTCTCTCTCTCTCTCTCTCTCAGATGATGTATATATTAATATATAATTTATAATTATATTTTGTGTTTTCTATATTCACATTTTCTAACAAATTAGGCTATATTAAATCTTTTGACAGTTTAGCGTCAAAAAGCAGTGTAGAATATTTGCGGGTGTTCCTATTGCTCCTGATCATGACCTGATATACCTGTCTTGGTCACGTCCTGCTCTGGTCCTGGTGTGTATATATATATATAAGACTGTTTACACTGATGATGTACTGGTTTCGTGTTCTAGTTGACCGTCTCTGTGGGGCCGCCTCGCCTCCCCACCTCTTCCTCTCCTCCACCCCCACTCCCCACCTCCTCCCCCCCTCCCCTCTAACCACTTTGGCGGCGGTCAAAGGCCTAATGATTCAAGTCCTGTCTTGCCACAGTAACTATAGTGAGCTTTGTAGTGTTCATCTTGGCCGCCATTTGAGCAGCGTGTATACATGGATGCAATACATGTATAATGTATGGATGTGTCATACTTAAATAGGTTTAAGTGCAGCACGTGTACACGTAGTAACATTGTGTGTTTTATGGTGATATGTTGCTTATAACACGTGTTTGGTCTGCTTGCTTAGTGGTTTGTTATTGTGTAATGGTGTGTGTTTGTGCTTTGTTATAGTGTTTGTGTTCTAATTCTGACCTCGTGCTTGTTTGGTGTTCCGCCTGCACACTCCCAGGTCACCTGGGAGTGACCTCCCCCCCATGCGGCGCCCTCGCCCACGCTAAACACACACACACACACACACACACACACACACACACACACACACACACACACACACACACACACACACACACACACACACACACACACACACACACAGCCATGTTCTCTACGGTCCTACTCAACACCTCCCTCTCTTCCACCCCTACACCCCCACCATTTCCACACACACACACACCCCATAGCCACCTCCCCCACCCTCCCCACAGCATAGCAATTGGTGTGTGACCCAGACGTTCACCAAATGAATAATAATATTATAACAGTAACAAATAATTATAGCTATAACATAGTAATAATAGAAATAATATTGATAATAATAATAATAATAATAATACACAAGGAAATCTCAATGACACGAGCTATACAAAAAATCATTTGGCAGCGCTGCAGGCATTGAACGAGCGACCTGGTCAACACCAGCCGCGCGCCACACCCCCCTTCCTCCATGACATGCTAAAAGCTATTCAACCTGAAACACTAACGAGTCCATTAGTTCCCCCTGGAGACACAACGAGCTGGTTCCCAACCCAGGTCTTACGAAGAGCCCGCTTGCACTGTAGTGTGGACAATGGTGTTCAACACCATACGCTCCCTTCAAGTACACAAGGACCTACCTAATTACCTACCTAATTACCTAGCTAATTAACTCAATATAACCTACCTTCTTGAGGTTATCTTGAGATGATTTCGGGGTTTTTTAGTGTCCCCGCGGCCCGGTCCTCGACCAGGCCTCCACCCCCAGGAAGCAGCCCGTGAGAGCTGACTAACACCCAGGTACCTATTTTACTGCTAGGTAACAGGGGCATAGGGTGAAAGAAACTCTGCCCATTGTTTCTCGCCGGCGCCTGGGATCGAACCCGGGATCACAGGATCACTAGCCCAGTGTGCTGTCCGCTCGGCCGACCGGCTCCCTACACCACAATGGCTGCCAGAACCAGCAGCATATTCTCCCGAGTTCCTAGTGAACTCTGTTCCAGGTTGAATAGCTTTTAGCATGTCGCGGCGTACGGGGTGTGTGGGGCTCGCTGCTGCTGACCATGCTGGTTCACGTCCTGCACCGCTTCAAAAATTAAGTTTCGCAATAATAATCGGTTATAACATTAACCAAATACAACTAATGTCCTCCCGCCCCCTCCACAAGACTACCCTATCCCCTCTTCCTCCCCTCTCTGACGCGCACCTACCGTGGGGCCCGACACTGGACGCCACAGTTCCCAGACCCACGTTGGAAGGCGTCGGTGTGTGAGGGTGTTGTACTCACCTGATCCCTCGCCCCCTCCCACGGTGGAGCTCCTGGCACCGGCACACTACTTCTACTTCCCTCTTCCCAGCTCTGGCGTAAGTTACTTCTTATCTTACTGCTGCCCCCTCCCCCTTGCTGCCTCCTGTCGTTGTATGCTGCTCCTTGTTGCTGCACGCTGCCTCATGTTGCTGCACGCTGCCTCGTGTTGCTGCACGCTGCTCCTTGTTGCTGCACGCTGCCTCATGTTGCTGCACGCTGCTCCTTGTTGCTGCACGCTGCCTCGTGTTGCTGCACGCTGCCTCTTGTTGCTGCACGCTGCCTCGTGTTGCTGCACGCTGCCTCTTGTTGCTGCACGCTGCCTCGTGTTGCTGCACGCTGCCTCTTGTTGCTGCACGCTGCCTCTTGTTGCTGCACGCTGCCTCGTGTTGCTGCACGCTGCCTCGTGTTGCTGCACGCTGCCTCATGTTGCTGCACGCTGCCTCATGTTGATGCACGCTGCCTCATGTTGATGCACGCTGCCCCTTGTTGCTGCTTCACGCTGCATCTTGCTGTTTCACGCTGCTCCTTGTTGCTGCACGCTGCTTCACTCTGCATCTTGCTGCTGCACGTTGCCTATTGCTGCTTCACGCTACCTCTTGTTGCTTCACGCTACCCTCTTGTTGCTTCACGCTACCCTCTTGTTGCTTCACGCTACCCTCTTGTTGCTTCACGCTACCCTCTTGTTGCTTCACGCTACCCTCTTGTTGCTTCACGCTACCCTCTTGTTGCTTCACGCTACCCTCTTGTTGCTTCACGCTACCCTCTTGTTGCTTCACACTACCTCTTGTTGCTTCACGCTGCTTCACACTACCTCTTGCTGCTTCACGTTGCCTCTTGCTGCTTCACACTACCTCTTGCTGCTTCTCGCTGCTTCACGCTACCTCTTGCTGCTTCTCGCTGCTTCACGCTACCTCTTGCTGCTTCACGCTACCTCTTGCTGCTTCACGCTACCTCTTGCTGCTTCACGCTGCCTCTTGCTGCTTCACGCTACCTCTTGCTGCTTCACGCTACCTCTTGCTGCTTCACGCTACCTCTTGCCGCTTCACGCTGCTTCACGTTGCCTCTTGCCGCTTTACTTTAACAAGATAATATCCGCGTACAAAGCTCAGTTGACGAGACACTTAACAAAGGTCAGAAGTGACCTTGACCCGGTCACTCCACAAGCACAGTGTCACGCTGACACAGATGTACTCACCTAGTTGTGCTTGCGGGGGTTGAGTTCTAGCTCTTTGGTCCCGCCAGATGTCTGTGAATATTATTGTTGACATTGCTCGTCACTTTTTCCCCTGTTGCTTCGGTCAGCGGCTCCTGTTGCCTCGGTCAGCGGCTCCTGTTGCCTCGTTGACCAGCTCCTGTTGCCTCGGTCAGCCGCTTCTGTTGCCTCGGTCAGCCGCTTCTGTTGCCTCGGTCAGCGGCTCCTGTTGCCTCGGTCAGCGGCTCCTGTTGCCTCGGTCAGCGGCTCCTGTTGCCTCGGTCAGCGGCTCCTGTTGCCTCGTTGACCAGCTCCTGTTGCCTCGTTGACCAGCTCCTGTTGCCTCGTTGACCAGCTCCTGTTGCCTCGTTGACCAGCTCCTGTTGCCTCGGTCAGCCGCTCCTGTTGCCTCGGTCAGTGGCTCCTGTTGCCTCCGTCAGCCGCTCCTGTCGCCTCGGTCAGCCGCTCTTGTTGCCTCGTTGACCAGCTCCTGTTGCCTCGTTGACCAGCTCCTGTTGCCTCGTTGACCAGCTCTTGTTGCCTCGTTGACCAGCTCCTGTTGCCTCGTTGACCAGCTCTTGTTGCCTCGTTGACCAGCTCCTGTTGCCTCGTTGACCAGCTCCTGTTGCCTCGTTGACCAGCTCCTGTTGCCTCGTTGACCAGCTCCTGTTGCCTCGTTGACCAGCTCCTGTTGCCTCGTTGACCAGCTCCTGTTGCCTCGTTGACCAGCTCCTGTTGCCTCGTTGACCAGCTCCTGTTGCCTCGTTGACCAGCTCCTGTTGCCTCGTTGACCAGCTCCTGTTGCCTCGTTGACCAGCTCCTGTTGCCTCGTTGACCAGCTCCTGTTGCCTCGTTGACCAGCTCCTGTTGCCTCGTTGACCAGCTCCTGTTGCCTCGTTGACCAGCTCCTGTTGCATCGTTGACCAGCTCCTGTTGCCTCTGTTAAACACCAAACTCCCCAAATGCCGGTTATTTCAATGTTGCAGTTTTTGGTATTGTTGTCAGTGGTGGTTGATGGAACTGGTGGTTGTTGCAGGTGTGTGTGGGGTGGTTGTTGCAGGTGTGTGTGGTGGTGGTGGTGGTTGCAGGTGTGTGTGGTGGTGGTTGTTGCAGGTGTGTGTGGTGGTGGTTGTTGCAGGTGTGTGTGGTGGTGGTTGTTGCAGGTGTGTGTGGGGTGGTTGTTGCAGGTGTGTGTGGTGGTGGTGGTTGTTGCAGGTGTGTGTGGTGGTGGTGGTTGTTGCAGGTGTGTGGTGGTGGTTGTTGCAGGTGTGTGTGGTGGTGGTGGTTGTTGCAGGTGTGTGGTGGTGGTGACAGACGCCGGCTGGTGACCATGGCGTTAGGACCTCGCGGCCACATCAGGTGGCAGCAACAGGCAAAAATTAGCGTGCTTTTAAATTGTCTTTCCCCATTAGTGCTCCTAAATGACCACACCACCTATTACAGCCCCCCTTTCATCCCCAGCCCCTCCCTCCCCCCCCCCCTCCCCCCCCCCCCCCCCTCACGGTAACGGCGCGTCCAATTAGCTCTCTGGAAATTACAAGTCGGGAGATTTAGTCGATGTCCGCCCGCCCTTTCTTCCCGGTTTCAATGAAGCGAACTATGGTCCGCACAATTTCCAGTCTGACGCTCTCTACTGTGTGTTACTTCCCACGGGAAGTGGCGGTTGTAGGAGGGGGGGGAGGGGGTACTGGCGTGTACTGTGTGTGTGTGTGTGTGTGTGTGTGTGTGTGTGTGTGTGTGTGTGTGTGTGTGTGTGTGTGTGTGTGTGTACATAGCTCTGACCAATGAACGACTTGCAGTTGTTGATAACCAGTAATAACCAAGACAGTGCCTACCAGTCGGCAATTTATGACACTTGTCTCTTGATATATATGATGCTAACTTGAATGTATCTGTGTGCTCGTCATTTCTACCCTTTGACAACATGTTGACCTCCAACAGAGAGGCAGACAATATGCTTGTTCCCATTGCTAGATAAAATGTTGTCTATCCTGTCGGCTTTCACCTATACCAGACCCAAGGAAACATACCCTTAGATGATAACTTGGTCCAACAGACTGTTGCTTGGTGCGGGTCGCAGGGGCCCATATCCATTACAACCCGGTTATTCCGGCACTTCTTATTGGAACTTCTTCATCTTCAGAACATCTGCATCTTCGCTGCCCCCATCTGCTGGATCCCTGCTTGAAAAATTCGTCTTTATTTTTGTGGAGCCTGCGGGCCGCTTCAAGCAATAGCATATTGGACCAAGCTCTCACAAGTCAAGCCTGTCCCCGGGCCGGGCTTGGGGAGAACAACAACGCCCAGAACCCCATCCAGGTACAATCCATTGTCAGTCAAGTGGATTGTAGTGGATACATTCCCTGAGTCAGGCGCCCCGCAGCGCAGAGAAAGCGTTGGAGGTCTTCACAAACGGGCACCGAAGAGCGTTTCACGGCCTCTCTATAGGTCCTTATCCTCGGTGACAACACAATTTAATGTTTTCAAAAGGACGCCTCGGCTCCACCCTGTTGCGACACAATTCCTCTGTGG